TTTTTTTATCTCATATTTTAGCAAAAAAGTCAAAAAGTTACTAAAATAACTTGTTCTCAAACGAGGTCATCCCTTAGATGTCTCCTTTTTCATTTACTTTTTTTTTTATCGTAAATTACACTCATATGAGGTTTAGAAAAAATACATCAAGTCACACAGTTGACAAAATTATAGTAGGTTCCTTTAAGATTTTAAATAACAAAACACTTAGCTTATTTTTTTATCAATTCATTAGTCATATGAATAAAAAAAAATAATATTATTATTTCTTTTACATTGAAATATATATACATATATTATTTATTCACGTTTGTTCATACTATTTATTTGCATTAGTCTCTATCCCATTTAATCTAACTAAAAAAAATGTTAATGTAATTAGTTAAAATTGTGAAGTTATTTATACAATCTCCAAATTTCATGGAGATTGGTGTAATTCTTTGTCTCTTTTTATTTTTCACTTTTGTGATGTGGGACAAGCCAATTTACAACCTTAAGGAATTTCCACCAAAACTCCATTTTCATGGAGCACACTTTGGCTTCAATTTTCCATTCACTCGGTAATGGTTTTGAGCAACCAAATATACCACGTGAATCACAACGCGGCATAGAACGCGTTACCACTTTGACCCGAGTAAATCGACACTCGGGGTCCACCTAAAAAATAGACCGAACTTAGGAAAAAATTCTGGTTTTATCCAGAATTTTATAACCATTTCCAACAGTTTCTTCCCTTATAACCGATGTCGCACCCAAGTCGCAGAAGTCTGTAAGCCGTTAGGTCGTTAGGCAAAGGCCATTGTAGACCATCATTTGAGCTTAAGCAGAACCACCCGTTGACAACTACAGTTATCATGGCAAGAATATTTAAATCATTCTCTAATCTGATTTATGGTGAAGGTTCTTCTACAAAATCTGTTATTATAAATCAAAGTGATTTAGAAATAGAGAAGATTGAAGAGCGTCTCAAAAATTGGAAGTTACCTACTAAAGATATTGACTGCTTATATGATAAAAAATTTGAACTTAACAAACCTACAAAATCAAGACAGTTGAATAAATTTTACCTATCAATCAAAATTTTCAATTAGATCGTGAATTTCAGAGGGAAAAAAAAAAAATTTCAATTTCTTACATTTTGGTCTTATCCAGGTTGGTGTCAAACCCATGACACGCCTACATCTTAGCAAATCTGCATTATGCACCCTCTGAGATATGAGACATCATGATTATGATGGTTCATTACTAGATGTTATTAAATCTAGTCTTGCACATAGACCAATTTAATTTGAATGTTTTCCAAATTTCAAAGTCTCTTTAATTGATCCTACTATCCTCAAAATTCTTACTCTTAATGTCCAAACCAAACATTATAAGGTTGATTCTCCTTCTTTTAATATTATGGTCTGTTACCGTGTTTATCTTAAAGCAATGACTCCTTCATGTCACATGATCCAATTTTGATGACTTGAGAAACCATAATTTCATAATTTTCTTAATGAGCATGGAATAAAATGGTTGATTGCTTGGGATTTGGAGCTATATATTTGAATCCTAGACATAAAGTATTCATTGCTTTAAGATAAACATGGTAAGAGCATCTCCAATGGTTGTTGCTATAATATCATTGTTATTGCTATAATTTGGTAATAAATAATAGTAATTTGCCAAATTATAGCAGTGGTGCTCCAGTGGTACACATGCTATTTTGGTAAATCTCAACCAACTTTCCCTCCAAATTTATAGGTGTTGTTTTGATATAAATTTTTAAATGATTTTATTTTTTGTTTGCTTATTTTTTGTCTTTTGTGACAATTTTTTATCTGTTTGTAAAAAAAAAAAAAATACATTTATATTATATTCGACTAGACAAATATAAAAAATAAAAAATAAATTGAAAATTTTAAAAAATAAATTTAAATACTCAAAATTACATTGGAACATAAAAATGATATTGCAAATAAAGACTAAAAATTCTATAGTGACTGTGTGAAAAAACTATAAATAAAAATGTAATTTGGGAGGTTTGTTGTGAATTGGAATTCAGAAAAAGAGATGAAAAAAAAAAAAAGAAAAATATAATTTTGTTATTTCTTTTAGGAACAAAAAGAGCTGTTGTAAATTACCCCCCACAAAAAAAAGAGTTGTTGTCCAACCATTGGAAGAAAAATTAATCCACGGCAGAGATGAAAGCCTCTGAAATCTTCTCACTGATAATATCTATCAGACCCACTATGTTCATTCTTCTCTATCTCTCTCTCTTTCTCTGTGATTTGGGTTTTAGAGAGAGAAAACCCAGATGGATTTCAGCTCGTTCTTGACATCTCTAGGGACGTCATGCACGATATTTGTGGTTCTAGTGTTGTTGTTTGTTTGGCTGTCAAGAAAACCTGAGAATGCAGTGGTGTACTATCCGAATCGGATCTTGAAAGAGATGGATCCGTTTGAGAAAACTCGGATCATCCATCAATAAGCTCCACATGAAGCTTGTGGAATTTAAAAAAATATTGCAGTGGTGGATTCTTGAAAGAGGTTACCCAAGAAATGGGTTTGACTTATTACTCTCCGGGTTTGTTTCCAAATTTCACTTCCTAGGTATTCTTTCTAACTGCAAATCTTTTCTTTGGACTTCCTGTTTTTTTGATTTGATGGTGATTCAATCTATTTACTTTTGTACTTGAAACTCTTGAGTCATCTTCAATTTTTTCAGTTCTGTAATTTTTGTATCCATACTGCTCTAAAGTAGTACTATCCGAAATTGTGAAATTTACTCTGAAATTTGTGAATTTTGTGACTCTTTTGAAATTTGGGTTTGATTATGAAATTTTAGAGGTTTTCTACTGTTTGAATTTTGTTTTTTCAATTGAATTTGGAGCAAAAAATCTGTTGATATTTGTTGATGTGGCAAGTTTGGCACCTGCTATTTAACTTGTCAAATTTGAGAACTGAAATGACATCTGCTATCTTTGACAAGAAGAATAATAGGCCATTGGAGCACTAATTTTTGCACACTATTGCTATATTTTAGCTTTGGCAGCTCTAATGGCAAACCATTATAGATGCTTTAACTGACTATAATATTGAAAGTAAGAGAATCCATCTTATATTGAAATGAGAAATTAGAATACAAAATAAAAAAAAAAACTTACAATGAGTCACAATCGTGAAAGCACATTGGACGCAATATTCACCAATGTGTTTTTAGGCCAAACCACGAAAAAATAAAATATAATTAACCCAACACAAAAAAAGTACAACTATTAAAGTAATATCTATACTATATATTAAGTAAAAAGGAGTTTTTAACCCCAAGCTTTGTGGAAGTTCTAATCTCCCAATCTAAATTTTTTGATTTTTTGATTTAAAAAAAAAATAAAATGTTAGCATTTATTAGCTTCTCTCAACTCTACCCTCATAATAACACTTTAATGCATTAAGAACAATCATAAAAAAAAATTCTTTAAAATCCAACACATATGAATTCCTTGAAAAGTCCCAACACACCTGATTATTATCCCTCATAATAATACTTTAATGCATTAAGAACAAGCATAAAAAAAAAAAAATTGAAAAGTCCAACACATATGATTATTATCAAAATATTAAACTTTAATATAATATCAAAAACGAAAAAAAGAAGACATTTAAAAATAAATAAATTAAAAATCATAATTCACATATATAGATAATTGTAAACACAATCCGTGCATAGCACGAGTGATATGCTAGTACTATATATTAAGCAAAATGAGGTTTTTAACTCATAGGCCTTGTGAGAGCTCCAATATCCTAATCCAACTCATAGGCCTTGTGAGAGCTCCAATATCCTAATCCTAATTTTCTAATTTTTTGATTTAACAAAAAAAAAAAAGAAAACCTCAGCATTTATTGTTTCTCCCAACCCAACCTCAACATTTATTAACTTCTCCCAACCCACAATCCCTTTTGACTTCTCTCATAATTACTGCAGCATCATTTTCAATTTCTCTCATACACTATGGTTACACACAAAAATAAAGAAGATAAGAATTTAGCTATAGATTTCAAAAAAATATAACATCTAAATTTGAATTATGATTTAGTAATATAATTTGATAATAATCATATGTGTTGGACTTTTCAAGAAATTAAATGTCTTTTTTTTATTATATTATATTAAAGTTTAATATTTTGATAATCGTCATATGTGTTGGACTTTTTAAGAAATTTTTTTTATGCTTATTCTTAATGCATTAAAGTGTTATTATAAGGAAAAATAATCGTACGTGTTAAGACTTTTTAAATAATTCATATGTGTTGGATTTCAAAGGATTCTTTTTAGGAATTTTTTTTGATAAATCTCATTTAGAAGTGTTTTAACCCAAAAAATCCATGAAAGAATTTTTTAACCCATTTAGTTTCATGTATGTATAGTTTTATTTCATAAAATCCTTTTTATTGATTTACACTATTTTCTTGGACACTTATGCCCTTATATTTAATTTTGATACCCTTATAAATATTTTTTGAACGGTTAGCAATTTTATGATGTGAACATTCATATTTTAAAATTCACATTTGTAGGAATGTAAAATTGGCCCGTGGGCGGCCCGAAACCAGCGCCGCGAGCCCGGGCGGGCCCGGTTCGTTGACAATGTGAATATTCACATTGACATGTTAACATTCACATTAATAAGAGTGTAAAATTGGCTTGCGTCCCGTGGTAGCGCGAAACCCGCCCGCGGCCCATGAGCGGCCCGGGGCGGGCCTGGTTCGGCCCGTTGACAATGTGAATATTCACATTGATAAGAGTATAAATTTGGCCCGCGACCCATGGGCGGCCAAAAGCCCGCCCGCGTCCGGGGCGGGCCCGGCCTGTTGACAATGTGAATATTCATATTGACATGTTAACATTCACATTGATAGGAGTGTAAAATTAGCCCGTGTCTCGTGGCTGCCCCGAAACCCGCCCACAGCCCATGGGCGGCCCGGGGCAGGCCCGGCCCGGCCCGGCCTGTTGACAATGTGAATATTCACATTGACCTGTTAACATTCACATTGATAAGAGTGTAAAATTGGCCCACAGCCCGACCGCAACCCGAGGCGGGCTTGGCCCAACTCGTGACAATGTGAATATTCACATTGACATGTTAACATTCACATTGATAAGAGTGTAAAATTGGCCCACAGCCCGACCGCAACCCGAGGCGGGCTTGGCCCAACTCGTGACAATGTGAATATTCACATTGACATGTTAACATTCACATTGATAAGAGTGTAAAATTGGCCCACAGCCCGACCGCAACCCGAGGCGGGCTTGGCCCAACTCGTGACAATGTGAATATTCACATTGACATGTTAACATTCACATTGATAAGAGTGTAAAATTGGCCCACAGCCCGACCGCAACCCGAGGCGGGCTTGGCCCAACTCGTGACAATGTGAATATTCACATTGACATGTTAACATTCACATTGATAAGAGTGTAAAATTGGCCCACAGCCCGACCGCAACCCGAGGCGGGCTTGGCCCAACTCGTGACAATGTGAATATTCACATTGACATGTTAACATTCACATTGATAAGAGTGTAAAATTGGCCCACAGCCCGACCGCAACCCGAGGCGGGCTTGGCCCAACTCGTGACAATGTGAATATTCACATTGACATGTTAACATTCACATTGATAAGAGTGTAAAATTGGCCCACAGCCCGACCGCAACCCGAGGCGGGCTTGGCCCAACTCGTGACAATGTGAATATTCACATTGACATGTTAACATTCACATTGATAAGAGTGTAAAATTGGCCCACAGCCCGACCGCAACCCGAGGCGGGCTTGGCCCAACTCGTGACAATGTGAATATTCACATTGACATGTTAACATTCACATTGATAAGAGTGTAAAATTGGCCCACAGCCCGACCGCAACCCGAGGCGGGCTTGGCCCAACTCGTGACAATGTGAATATTCACATTGACATGTTAACATTTACATTGATAGGATTGTAAAATTAGCCCGCGCCCTGTGGCTGCCCGAAACCCACCCACGGCCCATGGGCGGCCCAACATAAATTTTTTTTTTGAAAAGTCCAACACATATGATTATTATCCAAAATATTAAACTTTAATATAATATAATAAAATAAAATAAAAAGACATTTAATTTCTTAAAAAATCTAACACATATGATTATTATCAAAATATTAAATTTTAATATAATTTAAAAAAAGGAAAAAAAAAAGACATTTAAAAATCACAATTCATATATATAGATAATTGTAAACACAATAAAAGAGGAGGGTATTAGGAGCTCCAATATCCCAATCTAAATTTTCTGATTTTTTTATTTAAAAAAAAAAAATCTTAGCATTTGTTAACTTCTCCCAACTCCCAAGTCTTACCCTCATAATAACACTTTAATGCCTTAAGAACAAGCATAAAACAAATTCTTTGACATCCAACACATATGATTATTATCCTTCATAATAACACTTTAATGCATTAAGAACAAGCATAAAAAAAATTTCTTGAAAAGTCTAACACATATGATTATTATCAAAATATTAAACTTTAATATAATATAAAAAATGAAAAAAATAAGACATTTAAAAAAAAATTAAAAAGCACAATGCACAGCTCCAATCTCCCAATCTAAATTTCTTGATTTAAAAAAAAAATTAGCATTTATTAACTTCTCCCAAGTCTTACTCTCATAATAATACTTCAATGCATTAAGAACAAGCATAAAAAAAATTTTTGAAATCCAACACATGAATTCCTTGAAAAGTTCCAACACATATGATTATTATCCCTCATAATAACACTTTAATACATTAAGAATATGCATAAAAAAAAATTTCAACATATGATTATTATCAAAATATTAAACTTTAATATAATATAATAAAGAAAAGACATTTAATTCATTGAAAAGTTCAACATATATGATTATTATCAAAATATTAAACTTTAATATAATATAAAAAATGAAAAAAAAAAGACATTTAAAAAAGAAGAAGAAAATATTTAAAAATCACAAATCATATATATAAATAATTGTAAATACAATCCGTGCGTAGCACAGATGATATGCTAGTAATTTATTACTTTAATTGTCAACAAAATATTGATGTGATACACATAATTTAGGGACATGATTCAAATGTTGGTATAATTTGTTGTTCTTGGTATTGAAAGAGTTATTCATGCTTCTTGGGATAATAAATGAGGGAAAACAATTGCAACCTGTGATTTTATAATACGAAAAGTTATGTATCAATTTTTAATTTATAATAAATTTAAATATGTAAAATACACCGTTAGTCTTTGTATTTTAAGTGAACTGCAACTTTAGTTTCTGTAATTTTAGTTTAAACAATTTGAACTCTACACTTATAATTTTGCTGCAATGTGATTATACCAATAGTCCGTACAATTTTGAATTCCACCTAATCTCTTTAGTTTTGTATGCGATTTTTTTTTTTTTAGTTCAAAATGTTAAAATACATGACAAAGGGATCACATCGTAACAAAATTAAAATAAGGGTTCAAATTGAAACTACCATGACCAAAATATCATTCAAACTAAAAGGATGAACGTTATAATTTACCTATTTAATTATGAATCTTTGGCATTTCCCTTCAATATGGTGTGGAGATACTAAAGTAAATAAGAATTTCAGTATATTGTAAGCAAAAGTTTAGAACTGAATATTATTACAGCATAAATCTAGTTAGTTGCTAACTTTTACTTCTAGCAATTATCTTTCAAAACTTTTTAGATTTTCTTTTAGGCTGTGTTTGGTTAGAGGATTTGATGAGGGAAATGGAAAGGGAAAGGAAATAGAAAGAAAATGAGAAAGAATTGATAGGATTCAAATTCCAAGTTATGTTTGGTCAAGTTGGGAAATGGAGGAAGAAAGGAGCCTAATGATGTGTTTGGTTGAGGGATTTGAAGAGGGATTTGGAAAGGGAAATGGAAAAGGTAGGTGAAATGTGAAAAAAATATACCTACATTTCACATAGTTTCACACATCTTTTCTCTTTTCTTTTCTAAATCCCTCCCCAAATCCCCCTAACCAAACACAGCATAAGTGAACCTAGAACACAAAAAGTGGGATTGCATTTCTCTCTCACTTTCTTTTCCCTGGTGTTTTCTACTCTAACCAAACAAAAGATGGGATTGCATTTCCTTTTCTCTTTCCATTTCTCACACCAAATCTTCCAACTAAACATAGCCTTAGAAATCATATATGCCTTCATTGTTTTAGGAATTTAACGATCAAAAGTAATGCTACCTTTCCAAAATATGTATCGTAACATACAATTCAACTATGATTAAAGAATAGAAATTTGGGTACCAAGTAATTTTCTAAAGAATAATTTTCAAACAAATCCTAGGAAGAGTCATGTCCGACATTACTTCCTCAGAAATAGTTGGCCTTAGTTTTTGAGAACATATGAGGGGGGTAAGATCAACTATATGAGATCTGTCTTGCGGAGATTATGTTTATTTATACATGACTAGGACTGGCTCATATTATGGGCACTTTATAGTTCTACTATTCCATTTTTATAATCTAAACTTGCAAATAATAAAACTATGAAAATAAAAACAAAATGAGATTTTTTGGAAGCAAATAACAAGTCAACCAATAATTTGTTTAGTCAGTGGTGCGTTGAGTTTGTCGAAAAAGAATGTAAAAAAAAATAAATTTAACATAATAATTCAAAAGGCAAGTTGCACTAACGACCCCTGTAATTTAGGATTTTTATTATTTTGTTTTCTAACTTTTCAATTGTAATATATTTGATCTTAAATTTTGATTTTTTCAAATAAAGATAATTAAAAACATTGTTACTCCATTTTAAAGGCAAATTAGTCAATTTGATAAAATATAAACTAGTTTGACAAAATAAATGTCAAAAAAATATTTTTAAATTTTTAAAAATTATTTATACCCACTAAAGATAAAATTATATAAAAATAATAAATTTTTTATTTTTTTACCAAATTAATTTTGAGTATGTGTTTGGATGATGATGATGTAATGGGTGATTGTTTTTGTTGATATTTTTGGATGGTTATCATGTAATAGATGATTGTATTTGTTATTAATAGATATTCGGGCCATTTACATACAAGTCCCATTTTGTGAACTTATTTGCTCCCAGATAAAATTATTTGCTCCTTCAATTCCCATTAATTTTTAGTAAAACAATTTATCCTTCCAACAAACTCCAGGCAAGTTGTCTTCCCTCTCTTCCGTCCTCAAGTCCTCCATCGACGTCCTCGACGAAGCTCTGTTGTTGGAAATCCAGCTCCACCACCAGAACCATCGCCTCCTTCCCTTACTCAAACCGTCGTCGTCTTTGCTGAATGGTGGTAAGCTCATGCCTCGGTCGTGCTCGTCTTCTGCGACGTCGTATTACGGCACTGGCAATGGGTACGATTCCAGACCCATGACTCCGAGTCGGCCGAAAAGTGGCAGAGGAGGGTTCAGAGGCTGCTCGCCTGTTGGTTTTGGATCAGTGGATAAGCTTCTTCTTAGAGACCCACTCGATGCTCCGAGATCATCCGGCGACGATAGCATTTCGATCGTAATGCCAGATCTGAGTCAATTGGTTTAGATTTGCACTGTACTATTTGATTTTATTGGAATTAGGGCTCTGTATTACGACTCCATTGATTGTGAGGTCTCGGTTTTCACTGAGTTCACAGATGCCACTGCCATTAGAGAGAGAGAGATCAAGTGTTTTTTGAAATTGAGAACTTTCATAATTTATAATATTCTCAATTTTAATTATGAAAAAAATTGAGAAATTTCTCAAAATTGATAATTATAAATTTCTTAGTTTCGATAATATTCTCAATTTATACTAAAAAAAATTGTGAAATTTCTTAGTTTTGATAATTATAAATTGAAAACACTCTCAGTTTTGAAATTGAGAACATTCGTAGTTTTGGGATTAAAGGGAAAAACGTTTTTTTACTTGTAAATGGGACTTATTTGTTCAAAAACTTTTTAACAGGACGTACGCTACCACCAAATATGTAGATAAGACTTTTAGGTAATTAATTCTAGATATTTTTAGATGGTTATCATGTAATGGATGATTCTTAGGCTTTTAATGTGTAATCGCTATGTTTAATATATGAAATATTTTTAGTTATGAATTTTTTGATTTAATAGATTGGTTTAATAATGATATCAAAGTTCTCGCCATGTTTGAGTTTTAAAAAAATAGAAACTAATTTAACAAAAAAAAATATCAAAAAAATTATTTCTACCCTCCCAAAAGATCAAATTATGCAAAAATGATAAACCAAACCAAATCAAACCAAGCCGTAAGTCCCATCAAATGGGGTCGGCTACATGAATCATTCTTCTCCACGTAGTCCTATCAAAGGCCATTTCATTAGTCAAATTAAGTAGATTCATATCTCTATTTACAACGTCAGCCAACGTTAATCTAGGCCTACCCCGTCCCCTAACACTTCCATCTACCGTTACAGCATCGCATCTCTTCACTACTGCCTCTGTTGGTCTCCGTTGAATATGACCAAGCCATCTCAATCGATTCTCTCTCAACTTATCTTCTATCGGTGCTACTCCTACCCATTCTCGAATGCACTCATTTCTAATTCTGTCTTATCTAGTCTTACCACACATCTACCTTAGCATCTTCATCTCAGTCACACTCATCTTATCTACATGTTTCTTGGTTGCCCAACACTCCATCCAATACAACATTGCCGATCTAATAGTCATTCTATAGAATTTACCTTTTAGTCTAGTGGGTATTCGTTTATCGCACAATACTCCAGACGCACTTCTTCATTTACACCATCTCGTCTTAATCCTATGGGCCACATCTGCATCAATCTCCCCCGCTGTTAGGATAATCGACCCTAAATAACGAAAATGTTCATTCTTAGGCTATTCTTGATTCAATCTTCACTTCTCCTCCGCTTTTGTTGTTACTGTTACTAAATTTACATTCATGTACTCTGTTTTAGTTCTGCTTATCTAGAATCCTTTAGATTCAAGAGTTTTTCTTCAAATCTCTGACTCTGTATTAACTCCTTCTCTAGGCTCATCCACTAGTACAATATCGTCTACAAAAAGCATACACCATGGCACGTCATCCTGAATATTTCTCGTCAACTCATCCATAACTAAAGCAAAAAGATAAGGATTTAAGGTAGATCCTTGGTGTAACCTTACAGTGATAGGAAATTCATTTGTCTCTCTAGCTGGTGATCTAATAGTGGTGACCATCCCTTCATACATGTCCCTAATCACATTAATGTAACCTTTTGTCACCTCTTTCTTCTCTAACACCCACCATATTATATCTCGGGGCACTCTATCATATACTTTCTCAAGGTCGATAAATATCATATGAATGTCTCTTTTCTTTTCTTTATACTTTTCTATTACTCTCCTCAAAAGATAGATCGCTTTTATTGTTGACTTGCCAGGCATAAACCCAATTTGATTCTCTGACACCTCTATTATATCTCACAATCGGCGTTCCATCACCCTCTCCCACACTTTCATTATATGACACATTAGTTTGATTCGTCTATAGTTGTTGCACTTCTGGACATCACCTTTATTCTTATAGATTGGTACTAAAATACTCTTCCTTTACTCATTTGGCATGTTCCTAGTCAACAAATTTTTGCAAAACAACCTAGTCAACCAAGCAACTCTCTTTTTACCCAAACACTTCCAAACTTCAATAGGGATATCATCGGGTCCTAAAATCTTATTTGATTTCATCTTCTTAAGTGCAATCTCCACTTTAAAGTTCCTAATCATGCGATAGAACCTATAGTCTTGGTTTATCATATTACTGATTATTTATTCCCCTATTGTCGTACCTCTATGTTCCTCATTTAATAGTTTCTCAAAATAATTCTTTCATCTTTCCTTAATCTCTTCATCTTTCACCAATACCTTAGAATCCTCACTCTTGATGCGCTTAACTTAATTAAAATCTCTTGTTTTGCTCTCCCGTATCTTAGCAAGTTTGTATACTCTTTTCTCTCCCTCCTTACTATCTAATCTAGTGTATAGGTCATCATAAGCTTTCAATTTAGTCTCTCTCACTACTTTCTTGACCTCCTTATTAGCCAATCTATAACTCTTAAGGTTTTCCTTAATTCTATCTTTCTGCCACTTTTTAACGCACTCTTTTTTTTGCCCTAACTACTGCTTGAATCTCTTCCCTCCACCACCAAGTTTCTCTAGAGTTGAGTCCCGTTCCTTTCAACTCCCCAAGCACTTCCCTTGAGATTCTCCTCATACAATTGGTCATCGAGTTCCACATAGTGTTAGTATCATCTTCCAAGTCCCAAGTACCTTCCTTATCCATTCAATTCTTAAATATTTCTAGTCTATCCCTTTTTAGGTCTCACCATCTCATCCTACAACGCCCACTAGCCTTCGTAGCTTGGTATTTCCCTCTAAAAAATAAATCTAGTACCAAAATCATATGTTGAGAGGCCAGGCTCTTTCCAAGAATCACCTTACAATCATTGCATTTTAGGTGGCCTACTTTTCTCACTGAGAAGTAATCTATTTGGCTCTTAACTAATCCACTCTTAAAGGTTATCAAATGTTCCTCCCTCTTCTTATACATAGTATTGGCCACCACCAGGTCAGAAGCCAACGAAAAATCTAAGATACTCTCTCCAGCCTCATTTCTGTCACCAAAATCATATCCACCATGTACCCTTTCATAGCCTAGTTTATCTATGCCTACATGGCCATTAAAATCTCTACCTATAACCAGGTTCTCTCCTACAAGTATCTCCTGTAAGATCTCATCTATTTGCTCCAAAAAATCCCTCTTAGTCTGATCATCTTATCCTACTTAAGGGGCGTATGCACTAATAACATTCACTATATTCCCTCCAATAACTAGTTTAACTAGCATAATCCTATCCCCTTTCCTAGTGACCGCCACTACACTCTCCACAGGACCCTTGTTAATTATGATTCCTACCACATTCATGTGTTTATCCTTACCACTATAATACAGTTTAAAACCGGTTTCCTTAATTTCCCTAGCTTTCTCGCCCGTCCACTTAGTTTCTTGTACGCAAGCTATACTAACACTCCTCCTAATCATAACATCTACCAATTCTATTGTCTTACCAGTTAAGGTTCCTATGTTCCAAGTGGCTACCCTAAATCGATAGTCTTGAACTAGCTTCTTTACCCACTTGGAACATAGGAACCAGAAAAACCCAGGAACCTTTGCCTATTTTTCACCGCACCCAGGCATCGATGCGGCGCCCCTTGCTCACTTTTTGAAACACCCGAAGGCAGGCACAACGTGTCACTTAAAGGGAACGATCTAGCATTTAAAGGATTCAAAGTAGGATTCATTGTCATAAGGGATCTGAGCAGTTTTTTCACGTGTTGGTTGTCGGCTACCTAACACACAACCCTCCTCCTTAACCCGGGCTTGGGATCGGCGGAGTTGTTAACAATCCCGGCGGAGTTAAATTATACAAAAATGATGTTTATTTAAAAAAATTTTACACCAATTTAATTTTTAGTTTCTTAGAAAAATTTTCTAAAAATTGATTATGAAAACCAAATCAAACATAACTTTACAACTAAGAAAAGTTATAACATTATTCATTAAAAAAAAAAATCATTACATTTCAATCAACGTACAAGTTAATCAATACAAAATAAGTTTTGTAACAATTTTGTTTTTAAAATGGACCGTTTGCAAAGGAAATATCATTGATTGTCCTTGTTTGGAACAAAATTCAAAATTTAAAATAAAATGTATCACAATTAAAAAGTCAAAAACAAAAGTAATATAAACCCTAAATTATAAAGATGGCTGGTGTAATGCGTCCTAATTCAAGCAACCACTCTATTACAGAATTGCTTGTATACACATTACAGATGAAACTTTCTCCAGTAATGCACACCTGAAATCTCAATAATTGCGGTGATTTGTTGTGGCTTGTTACTATCAGAGGTTGGGAGTATATATTTTCATTCGAAATCAATAGGAAATTTGAAATTTCAACCAAATTTAATTGATGTTTTTGGATTGACACTCTAATTTATCCACCAACAAAGTATATAAGTTCACAATCCTTCATTCTCACCCAAAAACCAACATGAAGTCTTTTAACCAATAGCTGAGTCAAGACTCAATATTGGGAGATTATTTTTGTTAATCTTTGTTTTTTATTTTAATTTTTTTTTTTCTTTTGACATTATTGTATTTTTGGGGCTGGGCGAATTGGGTTGTTCTACAGTAATTCTGTATATTTATTTGATAGAAACATTATATAAAATTTTACAAACCATATAGAGTTATTACAATATTCTTTAATTTTCTCATGTTCATTTAAAAATAAAATAAAATAAACTGATTCAAAAATTATGTTATAATATTCTTAGTTTAGTTAAGGCACCTTGACTAATACAACAAAAAATAAATACATAAATAAAAATTAGTCAAGTTTACTATATAACTACACGTTAGATTTCTAATTAATACATAAAATGTTATATTTTAATTTGTAAACATCATTTTATTCTTAAAAAATAAAAGAAACATTTTTAAAATATTAAATATAATATCCTTTGACATGAGAATTGATAATTAATCTAACACTTGAACACACACCCACACTCAACACCTGTAACAATAACGTGTCACACAAAAAACATGATTGATTTATTAAATTTAATATGGTTAAGCTTAGGTGTCACATGCAGCCCTATTTGTAGGGCTCAAATTAAAATTTTATTTTTAATTGACTTTAACAGCAAAAGTTGATGGTATT